ATTATTTGCAATTGTGTTGTGTAAAATAAGTTTAAGGGAGGGATTTTCTTAAAAAATATGCCCAAACATAAGAGTAGATATCTAAATTTTAAATTTTAGTAAAAATAACAGATTTAATTATGGTTTGGTGTGATTTAATAATATTTAATAGTAATTTGTAAATATGAAATGAACCTTCATTAAGATTTGAAAACTATTAGTAACTCAGTAATGATTGGCCTCTAACTATAATTAATCTTTCTTTTCTATAAGGATTCTTACACATTTAGACTAAATTTGACTGCACATAAAATTAATTCATCAAACATATAAAATTGAATGATTGATATTCAAATAACTTAATTCTTAGTTGCTATCACTTGAGTTATAATCTTTAAAATCAGGTTAGGTTGTAATTGAGAATTTGACTCCAAAAAGAAATAGTATTCAAAATCATTAAGGCAAAAACATTACTAGATATGATAATCCTAAATAGATAGAGTAATCCTCACATGACATGAAAATAAAAGAAAGAATTGAAAGATATCAAAAAAGAAAAAGAAAAATAAAAATCAAAAGAAAAAGAAAAAAATTAAAAGATCTCAAGTTATAAAGAAAAAAATAGGATATTTTGAGGAGAAGTTTGAGGATAAGCTTGAAGTAAGAAAATTGGTACCAATGTTTCTTTTTAAAAGTTAAAGAATCCAAAACCTCCACAACTCTAAATTCAGAATATTATATACAAGAAAAAAATTACCAAATTAGCATTATTTAATTAATTAGTCAAATTAAATTATACATAATTGAGAAGTAATATTATTTCAGTTAACCAAATATAAGTGATTCAGAGATAATTATATATTAATATTATTAATATAAGTTACGTTGGGATATTCAGAGCTTTTAAATAAGATGTGTGTACACTTTGAATTATTTGTTTATTACATCACTAAAAACACAACAATTGTAAGCCACAATTTACCATGAATTTTCAAAAATTTTAACTTCAAGTATTAAATTATTTGAGGTCAAGTAATGTCTGAATTTGACAGTTTTTAATGTGTAAAAAATACATACTATTATTGCTTATGTTTTCTTGGTTATTAGTGTCATTTTTTGCTTTTATGTTAGTTAAGAAGGCCACATGGGGTGCATAAGGAGCAAAATTGAATCTTAAGTCATAGACTGACACATAGGTGCACAAGCTTAACGCCATAATGCTTGTACCGGACAATAATTTACCAAAATGTAGAGCACATGGAAAATAGGCACCCCATTCTAGGAAGCGGTCGCCTAGTCTGACACCTAGGTGCTAGAAGTAAAGCGATCCAACATCTGTGAATGATAGAGGAGTTAGAAAGTCAATGTCTGTTATGAAGTCTAGATGTATGAATAAAGATTTCTTACCAAGAAGGTGGAAGCCCAACGTCTCAGTTCCAACGCCTAGGAGCCTAACACTGCCTTTGGACAATTTTGCGTAGTTTGGATGACATTTAAAACTAGTCAACATTTAAATGTAAACTTTATTTTCCATTTGGCATTCATACATATTTGGGTGGGGGGGGGGGGGGGATGTGGGGAGCAACATGCAAATAAGAGAAGGTTTGGAGGATCTTGGGAGTGGGTGTGTCTGAAAACATTATACAAGAAGAATTGTGGTGGAGCAAAATAATTACTTTTTGAGTTTGGTTGTATATTGATTTTTAATGAAATTTACTTGGCTCTCTCACGATATTTAAAAATTAATTTCTCTATGTTTCTTTGGTTTGTACGTGTGATGAATTGTATTCTATTCATGATAATTTTTTTGAGATTACGAGATTTAATTGCATGTTGTAGTGTTTTATTTTTTATCTTTCTTTACTATCAATCTGACAAATTGAAATACTAAAAATCCTTATGATCCAGGACTACTGATCGTAGGGTAGAAGAACAAGTGTGAATACACTCAAATCATCAAGTGGAATGATAAGATTTCTTGTTAGAGATTACCACCTAATATGGGACTAGAGGATCCTTAGAAAACTTTGCATGGTTAAGTAAAAGTTTACTGTACTAAGAGTTTTCAATGCTTCTTAATATCTATGAATAGAGTAAGGAGTATTTGTCCTCTATTGTCAACTTTAGAATGAAAATTAATTAGAAGAATATTGAGGATTCACGCGATCCAAGTCAAAAGAGCATTATTCTCACCATAGAAAATACAACCGTGTAGATTTAGAGTTTTGTAAAATTAGGATTTTTGAATTCTCTTAAATTTCATAAACTTGTGACCTTTCAAACAAAACCTAGCATTAATAGAATAGAAATTTCTCCCAAGATTAATACATGAACATTTCAATCCATATGCTACTTGATCGACAGATATACTTCATGATTTAGTGCTTCATTACATCACATATCAAGTTTTTGCACTTATGATTTCAAATTTTTATTACTTTGAAATATTTTTTACTTAGAGAGTGTCGTTTCTTAGAATATTTCCTTTAATTGTGTCATGATTATAAATGAATCCTATTTGGAAGAACCATCATTAGATTTTATTATAAATATAATAAGGAATCAAGAAGACAACCGTGAATTATCACCAAGGCTAGAATCACCCACCATCTAACTTTCTTTGACCAATTTAAATTATCAAGAGTACTTGAAATATTTTAATTTGCGGAAGTGACTTGAATAAAAAAGATGGTTGTGAAGAAAATATATTTTTTTGAGGATTTTCATAGAAGGATAAAAGATAGGTTGAAAAGCATAGGCCTTCTGGTTGGTTTACTCATTTGATGAAATTTTTTTTATTTGATGAGATAGTGCTAAAAATAAAACACATTAATGTAGTCATGAAATACGTTCGCACACACACACACACACACACATGCACATAAGGGGAAAGCACTCCATTAGACTTTTTATAACAAAAGTTACAAGTACTCTCCAACTTATTTGCACTCCCAATCCACTATGTTAAAATGATGAGTTTTTTTTTATCAAAACAAGCAAAACGATATTTTCTCCAAGACCAGGAAAGCACTTATGAGCAACTACTTGGTGATGTGAATGATAAAGTGGCAATTCATGCTTGGCATGGCAAGCAAAATGGTGATGCTAGAATAATTTCTCTTTTTTATGGAGGGTGTTAATTATTGATCTCATCAAAAGTAATGGAATTACAAGGGTTGTTGGTCATATACCAATTGAGAAGTGCCCAAGCATCATTTACAACTTGTTGATTGTTCAAAAAAGGCATACTAAACAATTGAAAGATTTAAGCAAAGAGGACAAGATTATTCTAGGGTCATGGCTTACTAAACAAAGAGTTGTTTTATGGAGAAAGGGTATATCCCTTGATACAACATCTTGTTGTACCAAAAATTAGCTTTGTGATTTTTCAAGATTTGAATAGCATGAGTAGCAATGGTTGCAGGTATGCTGGAGCAAAAGGATTAATAACTAGTGTTTAACAACACCATAATTATGTGGCCATATGCCAATCTTAACAATGATTTTGGGAGAAACATATCATATAAAGAGAAAAATAGTCATTCCACAATAATATAATGATTAAGTTATTTACCATGAAATTTGTTGGATAGAGGTTAGAGTTAGTTGGCTCTCATATGATTGAGTTATGTTGGAAGAGGACCAACATCAGATAGTGCCATGTGAATGGTCTAGAAAGAGTGAGAGCAACAAGTCAATGCAACTGCGACAAACTTTAATGACAACAAGCTACTTTCTCTTCATAAACACCTCACACCCATCATAAAAAGTTATCATGGGTTTGTTTGGGATCACTTTTATTTTATATTTTATATTTTTATTTTTTTTATTTTAAAAATCTGTTTATTTTGTACATATTTTTATTTATACTTTCAGGAGAAAATCAACATATTTTTAAAATTTTTCATAAAATTTAAAAGTTACTTAATTTTTTTTAAATAACCAAATATGTTATAACATACCAAACCCATTTTATTTAAGTAAAAAATATAAAAAAAATAAAAATAAATAAAAAAAAAACAATCTAAAAAATGTCCTAATTTATTTTGAAATTTATATTAGAAAAAAGCAAAAAAAATTCAAGAAGCTCATCATAATTCTACAAAATATTTATACTTAGTTTTAGGCATCTTAGTTGTTTGCACGTAGTGTTGAAATCTCCATATTCCCCGCTAAATTTTCTATAACCATAATAAGCAAGAAAACACACATAAAATTTCATATTTAAAAAAGGCAGATAATATTAAAAAAAGAAATAAACTAATAATTTTAGTTTTCGATTTGATTCCAAAAAAAAAAATGTGTTGAAAAAAATTAAATCAATATTGATAAGATACATATACACAAGGAGTATATATGTAATACCTTATGAGGGAAGGATGGTGGTCCCCCGAAACCTGCTATTTACAAATCAACCGTCCTCTTTCATCCATTTCTCAAATTCTCCAAATCAACCGCCCTCTTTCATCCATTTCTCAAATTCTCACTCACACATCAAAATTTTGAATTTTTCAATGATCGTGATAGAGAGTTAAAGAAATTGGAAAAGTATTACTTCAGGACTCGGCATGTAGAGCTACGTGCGAAGTCCGTGGAGGTGATCGGCCCGGTAACACCAGAGAATATTATCTCGTGTTATTCAAATATTATTATGTGTTATTCATGTATTATTGTGTGTTATTCAAGTGTTATTGTGTTATGAGAATATTCTCGGTGTTATAATAACACAATAACACTTGAATAATACCCAATAACACCTGAATAACACACAATAACACCAAATGACACGGGGAGAATATTTCATGTGTACCGAGCCGATCACCTCCACTGCGCACGTAGAGTTACGTGCGGAATTGGTTCAATTTTTTTTCCAAAAAATTATTTAGATGTCTGATTTGTAAATATTAATATTTGGGATGACCTGTCAGTGACTATCCGCTATTAATTTTTCACTTTCGTACTTTTGTTTTTTAATTAATTGTTTTAAAATGTGAGATTTGCTCACCTAATTACTTCTGTAGACACCCAGCAGGGTCCCCACACTACGGCACTTCTTATTTCCATGCTTCGAAACGCGGAATTTTAAATGAAAAGGTAGCGGCTCCGTGCCTGTCCCCCAACCAAAGCTTTGCTTTTTGCACCCCCATAGCTGCTGTGCTTTCTTTGGTACTCCATCCATCTCGAGAACGAGAAGGAGAAGAGAAGGAGAAGGAGAAGGAGAAGGAGAATGGAGAGGAGCACTCCGGTGAGGAAGACGCACACTTCGACGGCAGATCTGCTTACCTGGTCGGAGACACCACCGGCTGCTGATCCTCGGGCGCCAAGTGCTGACCCTCGTCGTTCTCACATGGTATCACACTCATTCTCGGGATTTCCAATAAGGGAATGCGGTGCGTTTGCTTGGTTTAGGTTGTTTTATTTGGTTTTGATTGATGGAAAACAAATTATTCCAGCCGCCGAGTGGGATCAGCCCTGCGTTGTTTGGGGGGCAGATGACTGAGGAGGAGGTCGAGAGTGTCAACAAAAGGTGAGATCGATCTGTCGTTCGTATTTGATTCTCGTTGGTATTCGTTATGGTTTGTTGGGTGTGCTTTTAATGTTGCACTTTTGTTTTTTTCTGTTTCTTTCGATGTTTGCTTGACAGTTTAGTTTTCAACGATCCATCTGATTCATTAGTCTGATTTGAAGCACTCACTTGGATTCTAATCATTTTTTTTCTTTTAGGAGACCTGGTTCTTAAGAATGCCTTTCGATTGAGTGGGTTGGGGGGTCATTACTGTTCTGTTGCTGCCTTTGGATGAATACTTTTTGACTTTCTTCATTTTGAGCTTTTTTTTTTTTTTTTTTTTTTTTTTTTTGGCGATAAAGGCATGCTAGCTTTCTAAATATTAAATGACTCTGTATTAGTACGTTGTGAGGTACATACCTTAGTATTCTTTGGAAATTTGATCGGACAGTTTATGACTAGTTTTCTTGTATTTTGAGATGTTGGTTTAAAGGGAACCTGAGCATTAACTTTGTTGCATGCAAATAAATTTGTGGCAGCACAGTGAGCGAATAAAATTTTGATTTTGTATAAAGATTTAGCACACATAAAGATAAAATAAGTGTTTAATACGACACACCAAATTTTAAATGAGAAAAAGTTTGATAGGAAAAACTATTGTTCTTGACAATTAATATGATTCAATAAGTCTAAATCATAGGTTACAAATGATATCTTTTTTCATAAGTTGAGAGGGCGTTGGTATCTTACTATAGACATGAATTGTATAGAATGAATTCCATAATGAAAATTGAAGGAGTTTTGAGGCATTCGAGTTGTCTTCAAGAGATGGTTTGCTATTTATTTGATCATTCTTTTTTTAGGAATGGATTTAAGTGACCAAATTGTCCAAATTAATCTTTATGTTGATGACATGTTTTGGTCCTATTAGTACTTTTATGCGTTGATGTTATTGTCACTGTTAAGTAACAAAGTTGGTGGATGTAACCATTTATGTTAACGTTGTGTATCACCCTTATAAGTGATGGCATGTATTAACGGTGTATATTCGTCTTATAGGCGATGCCATACTTTGATGACATGCCTTAGTCTTAAAGCGATGATATGTGACAAAGTTGGCTAGTGTAAGTTGTCATAAGATTATAGTTTGATGACAGTGGTTGGGAGAGCGTAGTTGGGTGATAATATTCAAGTGATTATAATTAGATGATAATGGTCGGATGAGGATAGATGAATGATAGAGGTTTGCAACTATATATCGTGGCTGAAAAATCATGGTCATGTGATGATAGTTGGGCAATGACAATCGAGATATTATAGATGGCCAATGATGATTGAGCGATTTTAAATGGGCGATAATGGTTGGAAGGTTATGAACAAACATCAGTGGTCAGACAACCATAGTAGAGAGATTGTAAATGCATGAAAAATGTCATACGATGGAGGTCGGGCAATCGTAGACTGGTGATGATGGTCGGGTGCCCGTAGTCAAGCGATTGTGATTGGGCTATCTTGGATGGGTGACAAAGTTTAGGTAACTTTAGTTGGGCATCAGTGATCAGGTGACTATGGACAAGCAATCATGGTCTAGTGATAATTTGGCGATGGTGGTAGCCCGACAGTGGCAATGATCCAGTGGAGCTAGTAAGGCATCCGTGGATGGGTAAGGATTGTCAAACAATGATAATTAGATGACTGAAGTTAGGGATTGTAGGTGGGCTTTGGTGGTAATTTGACTGTAATCTGTGAGGCGTGAATATGGACATGGAGAAATAGATATGATACGAACATGGCAACATGATAATTATAAATATATAGGATATAACATGTCATATACATATTTTACATTTAATGAATTATTAATATAATATATAATTGTTTCTTATTTTCTACTAAAGACATAAGATTGTTGTATTTTTACATAAAAATAACCAATAATAGCAAAAAAAATATATGCTAAATACAAGAAAAAAATGTAATATGAAACTCTAAATACATTCTAACGATTTCGTAATATACAAACCATAGTTAAATAAATGTTTGAATAAATGCATAAGCAATAGTAACCTAATGCATCTGATGATTTTATACATCATAGCGAAATAAAGACTCTTAACGGATTTGTTCAAACGAGCACAATTTCTATGAACCATAGTGAAGTTTCTTTGTTTTACTTGCAAGCTATGACTTTAGTAATTAAGACGCGTTGGGATTTTTCATATTCCTCAGACTTTGTATTTAGCCTTTAATTGTAGTTTTGAGAGAGCTTTGAATGAGCACCATTTAACTTTTTTTTTTTCATTCCATTCTATCTTCATCGTCTTGGCATGTTGTTTTGAAATGTGCTTCTCATCTTTGTTTCTTCTTTGAAATGAGTTTTAAGCAAAGTCTTGGCATCTTCATTGTCTTCTGCACCTTAGTGTGAGAAAAGTCATGTTTGGTAACATTTTTTTTTGTTTAGCCATGAGTTGCATCTCATGTCTCTCGTTTCCAGTATTATGTCTCTGATGTGTCCTCATCATGTCCTGATAGTGTCCATGCCGTGTTAGCGCCCAAATTTAGTGTAAAAAAATTTCGATGTTGCTTGTTGTAAGTCAAATATGTGTCAAAGCTGTGCCCGTGTCTGACACAGACACATGCACCATGTCTGACACAGACACATGCGCCATGTAGAAGTGTTCGTGCTTCATACATGACAATAGATGGGCAGTAGTAGTTCAATGATGGAAACGACAATTTGATGGTTGCTTTATTTAGATGGAGTAGTTCAATGATGGAAACGACAATTTGATGGTTGTCTAATAACTTTATTTAGATGATGATAGTCAGCTGTAATGAATGGATGGTGGGGTTCGACGACATTGGATGGGATGTGGTAGTTTGAGGTGGTGTTAGTCTGACAACGGTGGATAGGTAACAATAGTTTGATAGTGGTGGATGGGTAGTATTAGTCTGACAACATTGTATAAGCTTTAGGTTTTATTTGTCATCCATGGTCGCGTGGATTGACGGTAATGATTCGTTAAAGCTTTAGGACCTTCTAAGCCTCTAAGTCTTTGGGCACTATCCACCCTTATACAAAGAAGGAAAGTTATTTATAGATTGAGCGTAAGATTCTCTGTAAAAATTGCTAAAATATAAAACTCTCCATCAAATGGCCTAGTGTGATCCCCTTGATTATAAATTTTTTTACGAGTTTGAGACCCTTAATGATGTTTGAATCAAGCGATATTGGGCTCATGTATTCTTCTCGTCGAAAAATTTAGCTCGATTATAAATTTGCCATAATCAGAGTTTGTGTTCTTGAATTTGACTCTAGGAGTTATGCATGAAGATTTGTGCTTGATCAAGTGAATTCGTTAGTGACATATCAAACCTAATTTAACTTGCACGTTTATTTTTTTCTTAAACTGACAATACATTCTCAATTTGAGGATTTTGTTAAAGTAATCTAGATTGTGTAATCTTATGCAAGGGCACTAACTGGTTTGTTTTTTAATTAATTTACTTACACGTTTTTCTGGAATTATATGACTTTTTTTTTCAGAAATTTGAATTAATGGGTTGCAAACATGCAGGTTGTAAGCAAACTTGAATTCTCCCTATTGTATGCAACTCTGGAATTCTTCTGATTATTTATGTGTTCCAAATTTGTAAAACCTCTTTCATACTACAGACTCTCCTGATTTTATGCAACCTATCCTCCAAATTTCCAATGCCTGCACATGAACTAATAAAATCAGTTACAAATGTAGTTGTTAGTTAAATGAAGCGAAGATCTTCATGCAAATGCATTTGGTATGATAATATTTTTAGATTTGTTTCTTGAGAGACTATTAGACTCTCATTAGTTGTATCCTTATAGTTTGCAGCTTATATAATACACTCTTCCCGTTCTTTTGTTACTCGCTGTATGATTTAACAAAAACATGGTAGCTGCTGAATGTTCATCTCTTTTGATACATGGAAGGCGTTTGGTTTAGGGAAGAAGCATATTGGACTTTTATGGATGGATTAAGAACATTGCTTTGTTCACGAAGTAGACATATTTTCAACATATGTTAATATGGAATGTTATGTATAAAATCTAAATGAATGTGACAATCGTGGGCTAAAATCATATTTTTAATAATGCACACCGCACAGTGATGTGTGCCAAATTACTTTCACACTTTGTTTTAAGCATGCACTCATTTAATTTAATATATTTTAAATATTTCATTTGTGTGTAGTAAGGATTTTTTTATTCTGTTTGTTTCCCTTATTAAAATTTTTAATTTATTTTTGGAATGCATTACAAACCCTAATCTATATAAGGGTCTCAAATTTTGTAATATGGGTATTTGATTGATTGTTTTAATGAAAGATTGATTTCTATTGAACTTCCGTCTCTCTCTCTCTCTCTCTCTCTCTTCCTCTCTCTATCTCTCATATCTTTTATTTTCGATCTTAAGTTCTTTGGTATTAAAAGAAACTATTAGGTGCGGATAGAGGCATTGACTTTATAATATCTCTTGGTATTAGGGACCAATCTTTCATCTGCATCTATCTCTTCATTTCATGTCTCCATCCTCTCTTCCCACATCTAGTTGAGCCTTCTTCTATGTGATTTCTGTGCTTATAGCGATGATTGCTTCATGGGATCCTGATTCTCACTCGTCATTGCATATTGTGGTTGCTTTGTTATAACTGTGTTGCTCACATGTTCGATGGCTCCAACTCATCTCCCCTCACTTGTGTTTTGCCTCAACTTCTCACATTTTGCTTGTTCTCTTGTAGCATTTACATGCACCCAAGCACCCTA